TGCAGGTAGAGCAGCCGAGTTTGTTTTGGCTTTGAAAGCTGCAGCCACCTGGTTGTCAAGTTGGCTGTACCTGTACTCATGTACTCACCATTACATTCTTCAAGTTACAACCATCACGGGGCAGAGAGTTGTCCTAGTTTTATCACTCCCTTAAGAATCCAGGCTACTCTAAAAGGAGGAAGATCATAGGCAAGTGCAAAGGAACACAAGGCAACTTCCAAGTTTGATGTCCGTGTACAGAAGGTAGCAGTTTCTGGCTGCTATCTGCACTTCAAATGTCACCACAAACTGGGAGAACAAGGCCAGAGAGCCACACGGTGGTGCATGCACTGACGCGCAGACGGCAGCAGCTGCAACGCGGAGCCAATACCGCACAGGAGGCCCCGGGGAGGAGGCGGCGGAGACACTTACTCATTACGAGCCAATGCCACCGTCTGCCTTCGGGGGACGCACACGGCTAGTGCGGAGCCGTTCCGTGACCAAGCCTCAGCCTCGTCGAGGAACGACCTGCTGAGCCTGGAGAGCTTGTTCCATGGAATAGTGCAAAGGAGCTGCTTCCCAAGACCTGATTTGCTGGTTACAGCACCCAAGCTGCTAGGAGACCACACTTCAAGGGACTGATCCCCAGGTTTCAGTTTCTCTGTGGTGCAGGAGGGCTATCAAGGAACACAGGCTTCAAGAAGAGCAAAGAAAGGCAAGGGGCAGCACATGCACTTTCCGAAGAAAAGCTACAGGGCAGTAAGAATCCATGTTTCTTTACATATTCTGTCATCTGTAGGCACCATGTCCACACGTTTAAGGTTTTTAAAAGGCATTTGCAAATCTACCTTCCGGAAAAAACAACGTGCCAGGAAACCACTGCTAATACCTCACTGTTCTTTCAAGCATGCTAAACTTTTGTCTCAGGTGATGTGGTAAATTTCTAGGCTTCATTTCCCTATTTCGGTTTTGGGAAACGTACTCACTGGCCCTTGTTCAGCCACACAAGGCTCTAGGTGCAGTAAGGTTGTGAACGTGCGCACTGCAGGGAAGATCCAACTTCATGCTCGTAGGAAGCCCGCTCTGGGCTACAAATAAAACATTCACTGACACATTCAGAGATTTTTGAGTGTTTTACACAGGGTGCCGCCATTCCATTGCAAAATGTACTGGGGTCAGTTCTTAGCCCCCTAGAGTAGTTGTGCACCTCAGACGGGGCACATGCTGCTCGCCGCACACGCAGCTCGTACGCAACCCCCGGGCAGACGTGGCAGGGTGGCCACCGGGGCAGAGGCACGGAAAAACTACCACTGGCCAAGGCACGCAGTCATCCCACAGCAAAAATAACAACAGGGCTTCCCAGACTCACTGCTTTTAACTACAAGGCTCAATCCTTCCTCGCCGAGATGCTCCTGCTTACGTCGGACTTCGGGGAAGGGTTTTCCTGCTCTGAGTTGCTTGCCAAGGAGGTTCCCTTTTCCGCAGCAGTTCTGAGCAGAGCAAGGAAGCAAACAGCAGCTACCACATATGGCTCCCACCTTGCTCTGAAAGAGTAACCAGCTGCTGACAAGCAAAGTCCCATTTCTTCCTGCTTAGCCAACAGTTCGGCACACCGTTGCAGATGGAAAATACTTGCCAATTTTTGGATTGGTTTTCCTAAATTTCCTAAATTATCTCCTTTGTGAAATTTTTAGCTCCTGCATGCCTCCGAAGGAGACTCTTTGTACAAATGCCACAACTTTGCTGATGGTTACAACAGGCATTGCTTTTCATGTTTCCTGTTATCAGTGAGATAAGAGTCACGCACAACACAGAGCTGTTTGTATCTAAGTTTTGTAGCTTACAAAACCATTATTTTCCCTTGGAAGAGCTACAGGCAGAGTGATGGTAAGGGAAAGTACTGGTTATAAGGGCCCAAGAGATAAGCCTAGAATTTCAGCATCTCTCTACAGCGTCAGAATTTCTCTCTTTTGACTGAACAGCGTTATTTGCCACCTGACAAAAACATACGGTCACCAACACACCGCTGCAAGGAATTAGATGATTTACTCGAATCCCCTCCATGGACAGAAAGGCAATCCAGGCCAAAGTCATGATAAAAGATTAATTAGCTCTCAAATTGTTCCAAGCAGCACTGTTTATCTTTGTTAATTATCTTTCCCTGTATCAAAGGTTCTGATCAGGACTTTTTTTCTTCCAATAACAGGTTGTGTACTTGGCAGGAAAGCTCTATCTTCAGCCATTGCCTTAGCAATTAATGCACTGCTAAGAGAGAAACACAGGATCACAACTGGATCTGGTATGTGTCACCATGAATGTAAAAGATCTTTGCAAAACTACAAATATATAAAAAAATCCAGCTATATCCATCATCATCAACTTATATCAGTGGGTTTAATATTGCAGACACTTCATAACTTCTTGTTGAAACCACAATGCCAACTCAGAAACTGGGTTTTGAAAATGGAGGCCCTGCTAACACTTTTAAGACTTAGTATTTTGCTTTTGTTTTTAAAAGCCACATGCATGAAAAACATCTTCCAAGCTGTCTAATTGCTATGTAAAACTAACTAGTGACAGAAGTGTTTTCCATTTTATTTAGTTCCACTATTTAACAGATGACTTTGTTGTTCTTTCTCAAGTAATTTACTTTCTGGTAAAAAGGTCTGAAGAAGAACAAGAAATTAGGAACGACAATGTTCCCTTTTCAAAACCACGACCTTCCAGAGGCCCAGAAAGCAATGAAATGTCATACAGGTCCATCCCCAAAGACTTAAGCTCAGCTTAATGGCTTCCCTTCCTAATTAGAGTGCGGGCCTATCAGCCACATTAACCAGTGTTTCCAGATCTACAACAAAACATTCTCTATAAGCACAGATTCTGCAGACACTCCCTACAAGAAAATACATTTGCTAAGAGAAATGGACCCATGGATTGAGTGGAAACACTCTCAGAAAGAAATAAGGGAGAATTAGAGAAGTATTCACCTCACCAAGTTTGACTGGGTGCAGTACATCTAGAACTATCCTAGCTATTTCTACACATGGCTGCATAATTTCCTAAGAACATTCAAAGCTTATTTCAGAAGAAGACAGAATCAGTAGCATGATGTCACATCAAAAGAAGTTTATCTACACAAAGCTCCAGGAATAGCTGAACATGCCATTACTGATGTTACAGGCAAACTAGAAAGCTAGAAAAACTTAAGAAAGTGAAGCTGAAACAGTGCTGCTGGCAACTTACTTTAAGTTATTCAAACTTACATTAAAGTCACTTCAGAAAACTACTTGCTTAAATTCTGATGAATTTGAAATTGAAAAGTATTGATGAAGTATTGACATGAAAAGTATGTGCACGCACTCTTTGCATGTCCACCAAACCCAAAACTTCAGCACAAATAAGCATGTCCCTGCTCTAAGAGCCACACGTAATACCTGTAGGGAAAACGTGGCAGGATGGACCTCAGAAGGAGCAGACATTTCTTGTCCCTTTCTGTCCCTTCCATAGCAGTGAAAGGAAGCAGTAAATGCACTTTTAATTAAAGTCCGTGGTTAAGTTCATTTTACACTAGAGGTTCGTTTGCAGTTTAGACACATGCTCAAGAGTATTTTCATTACTGCTGCTATTTTGTCCCTCAAAAAGCTACTCCAGATACAAAGGATGGCTTGGGAAGGGCCCAGCTGAGGAGTGTGCACCAGACAACAGTCGTTATTGCTACAGAGGGTCATTCATAGGGAAAGGCAGCTCGGGGATCTCAGGAGCACTGTGCAAATGCTCAGCTGGTGCAGGCTGGGTCCAGTCACAGTCACTTACATCTCTTGCTATCAAGGCCCATTTCTAAAGGCTGATGATGGATGAAGCTACACGGCTGCTAATGGACTTAAAGAGACTGGGTGGCTTTCAGACAAGAACTTGAAGATTTGCTGTTTCTTCGTCGTAACCTGGAACAAAATCATTCCTGGCTTTTGAATGCAATTTAGTATTTCCGTACATGTTAATAATTTACACAGGTTCAAAAAAAAATGACTAGAGAAATACGTGCATAAGAACTTGAAGATTTGCTATTTCTTCGTTGTAACCTGGAACAAAATGATTTCTGGCTTTTGAATGCAATTTAGGATTTCCGTACATGTTAATAATTTACATAGGTTCAAAAAAAATGACTAGAGAAATACGTGCAGGAAGAAAAGACACTGAGGGCCAGCAAACAAGAAGGCAACTTCTCCAGCTCAAAAAGTCACTGAGCTACCACTGTTTGCAGGAGGGGAATATATGGAGAGGTATCTCTACATGTTGTCTTGCACATTCTTCCCTAGGCATCTGTCATTATTCACTGCCCTTACTGGAATTAAGCCGATAAATCACCCCACAGGCTAAGAATAGCCACACACCACACCAGAAAAAGCTGGCCCTTTCTGCAGCTGGATGGAGCGACGCTTCCTGTGCTGAGCCACGTTAGGGCACCAGCTCCTATCCTGATAGCACTTCCCTGTGGATTGAATTTGATGTGATCTTATTTTATTGCCAGGCTCTGCAATCCTATGGCCCATGCTAGCACTTGGCCTCTTTTTCTGCTGAAAACAGCCCCAGGCTGCTGCAGCACCACGTGCCACAAACGCCTCAAGCCTCTGAACCGCAGGTCTCAGCCATCACCAGTGGCAGGAGGTCGCGGGTGCCGCAGTCACCTGGAGCTCCAGCTCGTGCCCTCCAGCACTCCACGGGAGCGGCATCACTCCGGCATCTACGTCCATCCCAGTGGAAACCTGCGCAGCTGCTGGGCGAGAAAGCCGAGGCTGCTGCGGACTAGACAGTGTGTTTAGTTTGGCGACAGAAACGGGGACATTTTCCTCCTCCTGCAGAGCAGCGAGAGCGAAACCAGCCACCAAAAAACACGAGTGGTCCCTGCGAGTCCCCTCCCTGACAGCGCCTCAGGGCTTCGCGCGTGCAACGAGCAGCCAAGGCCTCCCACAGAGGCCAACGGCTCCAACGGTCCCAACGGTCCCCGCGCGCTCGCCCCTTACCATCTGGGCCACCTTGATCATGCCGGCGCAGGAGCGGAAATAGGCGCCGTCCATGAGCTCCGCGTCGGCGCCCTGCGAGGCGGCGGCG